TATCTCTCTCACTCCCTCTCCCTTCCTCTCTGAAACCAATAAAAATATATTTTAAAAATAAATAAAACAGAAAAGAAAGCCTCCCCAACCTCCACTTGCTTGCCCAGCGCTTGAGGCTGTGTCCCCACCAGTAAGACACCGTTGGGACCTCCAAACAAACACGGGGTTTGGGGGTTGTTGTTGTTACTTGGTGCTTTTGGTTATTTCATGATGAATTGTTTTGAATACACGGAGACAAGTCAGTTTCCAAAGAAAAACTTTAATGTTGACTTTACCTCGTCATGGAAAATTAGGGCTCAAAGGTAAGAACCGTCTAGGATGGAGGGCTCACCCCCATTCAGGAGTGCAAATGAGATGTGTCTTGGCCCCTTTGCACAGGCGCACACGCACGCGCACGTGCGCACACACACACATACACACACACATGCACACTCCGCCCCCAGTCTCAGAGGTGTTAGCTTAGACCTTCTGGAAACGGCAGGCACCAGGGAGAGGGCCTCTGAGGGAACCACAGGCAGAGGAGAGACCAGTGGGACACGCCCTCGGGCTGCAGGTAAGCATCAGGGTCCCTGCTGCTCTTGGACAGACAGTCTCTGGGAAGTGTCCCAGTTGCTTGAGGTATTTATAGACATTTCAGAGCATGAAGACTCTTAAAGGAGAAAAGAGCCTCCCCGCCCGGCCAGCGTGGCTCAGTGGTTGAGTGAGCGTCGACCTACGAACCAGGAGGTCACGGTTTGAATCCTGGTCAGGGCACATGCTTGAGTTACAGTCTCGATCCCCAGTAGAAGGTGTGCAGGAGGCAGCCGATCAATGATTCTCATCATTGATGTTTCTATCTCTCTCACTCCCTCTCCCTTGCTCTCTGAAACCAATAAAAATATATTTTAAAAATAAATAAAACAGAAAAGAAAGCCTCCACAACCTCCACTTGCTTGCCCAGCGCTTGAGGCTGTGTCCCCACCAGTAAGACACCGTTGGGACCTCCAAACAAACACGGGGTTTGGGGGTTGTTGTTGTTACTTGGTGCTTTTGGTTATTTCATGATGAATTGTTTTGAATACACGGAGACAAGTCAGTTTCCAAAGAAAAACTTTAATGTTGACTTTACCTCGTCATGGAAAATTAGGGCTCAAAGGTAAGAACCGTCATATATAAAACAATCCAATAAATTAAGAAATAATAAATAAATAGGAGTTGCTTCAAAGGGGACCAGGGGGTCGATCGGGAGTCGGGCGTAGATCTCTGCGGCCAGGACTTGCTCCTAATGCCTCTTCAGCACTGTGGGGAGAGAGTGGTGATGGTGTTGGCGAGGGAGACAGGCAGATCCGAGCTTCTCCCCCAGCGCCATCCCTGCCACCGCCGTGTCCCGCCCCATCCTCAGCTGATCTGAATATTTGAGGTTTTGGAATAATCCATCTCTTGGATGCTCAGTTTCCTATCTGTAAACGGGATTGTGGCCGCCCTGGTGACCCCGCCCTCAGTCTTTGCAGCTACAAACAGGTGAGGGGAAACCAGGAGGAAATATTTAGGGCTCTCTCTGCTCCAAGGAGGGGCTGCCAGGTAGGACTGAACTCCACCCGGAACCATTTCTGTGCTTGTGACAACAGAGGCAGGTGGTGGGTGCAAGGTGGGTGAGTCTCATGGGCTTGGTCATGACTGGTGTCCACAGGGATGTAGTCCCAGAAAGGCCCCCCTTGGCCTGAGGACCGTCCGCAAGAGGGAGTGATGTCCAGGTGGCCCTTTCTCGGGGTGTGGTCCCAAGAGACAACATACCCACGCGTGACTGCACTGGTGGAACCCACGGGAATGGGGGTGGGGGTGCCCAGGGTGCTGGGAGGGAGCTCACCATTGCAGCCCAGGCCAGTGGAGGAGCCGATCCGGTCCATCCTGCCCCCGAAGCAGCCCGAGTCACGCATCCTCTTGAGGCTCTGGAGGACATGGTCATGGAGCCCAAGACCGGCAGCAGAAGCTGCCTGCCTGGCCGCTCCGGCTGCTTTAGAACTGCGTCCTTGCTGGAGGGGCTCTGGGGCGGTCTGCTCCTCCTGCCGCTCCCCAACTGTGCCCGGAAGATGGTCCCGCAGCTCCTGCAATGGATGGGAAGAGCCCGAGCCTCAGGAACCCTCACCTGAGCCCAACTACCCTCGATGGTGCCCAAGTGAACCGACCACTTGGGTACAGGGTCCTGGCTCCCAATCTGGCCACTTTCTGGTTCCCAAGGTGACCTCTGTGACGGTAGGCAGAAACCTGCTGGTTTCGGCTGCCCAGTATCCAGCCCTGATGCCTGAATGCAGCCCTGCTCACCTGGACTCTGGACAGTTCCAAGTCAGGGCCTGGGCTAGGGCCACCCAGCGGGTGCGAACGACCTCCTAGCAGCATGAGGTGCAAGAACAGAAGGAGCAAGAGCGCCCTGGACAGCCCCGTCTGCGGGTCCATGTTGCTGGAGAAGCAGGTTACCGGCTCACCTCCCGTTCCACGGGCGGGCACTCTCCTGGATCCTCCCGCATCCAGGGCCGCCCTGGACAGCCCCGTCTGCGGGTCCATGTTGCTGGAGAAGCGGGCAGAAGCTGCTGCGGCTGCTCTGTCGGGGTTTACCGGCGGGCGGGCACTCTCCTGGATCCTCCCGCATCCGGGGCCTTTTTATCCCGAGCCTCGGTGCCCACAGGCCCTGCCCTCTGGGATTATCTCTGATTTATCAGTCACATTCCCACCCGCTGAGCTCAGGGCTGGGGAATGCACCCCTCAGTGCCTGGGACACGACTCACCAGGGCTGGAGGCAGAGGAGAGCAGGCCTTGTATAGAAATGGGCCTGGCTGGGGAGGGGAAGGCAGGAGCACCGGGCGGGTGGGAGGCGGTATCTCACCTCCCCTTTCATTTCCCGGCAAAAATCCCGGGACCTTAGAGTGGCGCTTTCCCGTCCCTCCCCACCCCCAACAATTCCTGGAAAGGGAAGGGAGGACGCCAGCTTATGGGGGCCCTACACAAGTGAGGGTGCAGGGGTGACTCAGAGCGCGAACAGCCCCAGCAACACCCCACCACTGCAGCGCATCTTCCCTCTCGCCGCCGCCAGTTCCTTTGCTGTGATCTCCAGCGGGTGGGTCTCCCCTGCGCCCTGATCGCTGTCCATGGTGCTGATCTCCCTGAGCCAATTCAACGCACGAGGTCTTCCTCCAACAACGCAGGTGTAGCCAGAAAGACAAGTGTGGGGCAGAGACAAGACAACCCGCCACCCCCGCCTCCCACAGCCCTCTGCACTAGGATGCTAATTCTCCAATGTCACCTCAGTGAAAGCCTGGGTGTGACAAGGAACTTCTGGAATGCTGACCCTGCTTCCAACCCTTAAAGGGGAGAGCTGATTTGGCTGGAATTTTGAGAGGCAAGGCCTAGAGATGAAGTCATCCAGAAATGCCTCCCGGTGCCAACACCTCTTCTCCGTCACCAGGCCAACGTATAACGGAAAAGGCAGGGATAACGGGGGATGGTTATCTGTTGGGTGGGGCCTGGAGGTGTGAGGACCGCCCTCCCTCGTGCCTCCCGGGGCTGCTCATCTGTGGTCTAATTCCCGTTAGCAGCCGGTCAGGACCTCTCATCTGTGATTACAAATGAGGCTGCGAAGAAAAGCGGTCCTGGGAAGAGACACAGCAGATTAATCCCCTGAAAGTACGCGTGACCAGGGTCACCACCCCTTCCTGATGACCCGCGTTAACAAGCAGCAGGCTGAGGGGGCCAGGTCGCCAGGAAGGCAGGTGGCTTGTGACAGAAGTGGAGAGAGGGCATCACGGGGCAGACGCTGTGGCTTCTAAGCAAATCTTGCCTTTAAAAAAAAAAATAGTGCCTGCCAGGTACAGAGTGACAAAACTACTGCTATTGTTCCTCCTCTTTCAGATGAGGACACTGAGCTCGGGGAGCTCATTTAAATACATACACACACCACAGAACAACTGTGCGGAGGTGAAGTGGCAGCGAGAGAGACGACAAACCCAGCCACGTGTGAAGCGGAGTCCGAGGCGTGGGGGCCGCCGAGGATGGAGAGAAGCCCCGCAGGGGATTACGTGGGAGAACCGCCTGCATCTATGCAAAGGGCAGGAGTGATGGCCACTCCAGCTGCTGGTCGAGTCCTTCCAGAAGCGCTGCTGTACTGAGGCTGCCAGCTCTAACCTACTCGCCTCGAACCCCCTTTCCTGGAGCTGGTGCGGGAACGGCCAAGCCCCAGATCTGGGCTCAGCATTTGGTGGTGGCAGTCGGACAGGCACAAGCAGAACAAGGGCCACGGGCACAGAAGGTCGCCAGGGCGGGAAGCCCCCGGCCAAGCAAAGAGCAATTGTAGGGGGGACTTCACCCCCAGGGTGACCTTTCCTCCCCTAGCACATCACTGGTCATGAGGTTTGGACCCCCTGACCTTTCCTCCCTAGAGATAACATTTAGGCCTCAGTTATATTTCACCTCCAGGCCCAGAGAAGCAGCCAGACCAGACCAGCGACCCCATGGCTGACTTCAAGCCCCCGGCCAAGCAAAGAGCAATTGTAGGGGGGACTTCACCCCCAGGGTGACCTTTCCTCCCCTAGCACATCACTGGTCATGAGGTTTGGACCCCCTGACCTTTCCTCCCTAGAGATAACATTTAGGCCTCAGTTATATTTCACCTCCAGGCCCAGAGAAGCAGCCAAACCAGACCAGCGACCCCATGGCTGACCTCAAAGAGCAGCTGCACTGAGTAATGCCCCCTGCCCTGGGACCCATCGATCCATCAGTGCAGACCACAACCCTGAAAGGACCCCTGGAAAGCTGCTGGATGGTCTATTGAGATCTTTCCCTGCGATCTCCTCTAAGATCACCCTTAGCACACTAAGGACCCAGAATGCTCTCTCTCCTGGCAGCAGCTCTCCCTCCTGGTAGCACACCAGCGGGCCCTTCCCCTTCTCCTTCCCCCTCGTCCTCCCTTCCTCCAGGTGTGTTACCATAACCTTCCTGACTCCCAAGCTCCAGGGGCCCTGCCTTTGCCTCTGTAATTTATTTCCCTCAGCCCATCTCTTCTGTGAATTACTTCTACTTCTGTGCTCTACCAAATAAATCTCCTCACAGTTTGGGTCTTGGCTCTGAATTCTTTTCTAGCCAGAACCCAAGAGCCAAGGTCCGGTCTGACCCAGAGGTCTAACACCCGGCGCCGTGCCCATCATACAACAGTTGGACACGTAGGTGGACTTAAGCTTCTGGGCCTGATTTCGTCGGTGACCTCTGCTTTCTCCTTCTCCACCCCTTCTCTCTCCCCCTCCCTCCCTCTTCTTGTTACGGAATCCTTTAAGCCTCCCTCCCCAGCTGCTCCCTCCCACAGACTGGCAGAGTAAATCTGCTGGAACTGGCGTGTGGGGCTCACAGGTAACTTGTTGGTTGTTGTGTTCTCTGTCTCGTCATACTGCTGAAGGCGTGGGTCATGTGTGGTTTCATTCGCATTCTTCGTTGACCTTATGTGTGTAGATGCATTAACTCCGTTAATCCATTTGATGGACGCGTTTCCTTGATGACTAACGGATCCAGGCAGTCCTCGGGTCACGTTGGACTCGACCTATGTCGTTTCGTGGTTACGTTGCCATCTCCCATTTATTTATATATTTAAAAAAAAGTTCCGTCACTTCGATGTATGTACATATGTGCTTTATGTTTTTATTATTTATTTACCACAAGTAAAGGTCAGGAATTGTTATTTTTCTTTTAAAATTTTTTTACTGTTTCACTTCATTACTGCTGTGTCTGTGCTCCATGTGAGTGATGTCGGGGCTTATGTAGGTGGGTTCTGACATACGGCGAAAATCGCGGTAGGTGGTGCCGTAGGAACCGATCTCCGACGTAACCCAAGACCTACTGTAGTTGCCTTTTGTGCTGGAAATCTTCAGTTCCACCCTTCATCCTCTCCACCCGGCTCAGTACCCCGGGAGGCTGACTTCTATGGCTTATGTATAGACGGGCTTACGGTTCTCCAGCTTCATGTTGGATTCAACCAGTGGTAGGGGGGCAGCAAAATGCAGACGTACATTTTCATCTCGCTCGGGTCTATATTTAGGAGTGGAACTGGTGACTCAGATAGTAACTTTACATTCAATTATTTGAGGAATTCATATATATATATATACCCACACACACACACACACACACACAATCATATAGTACAATCATATATAATTGTAATATCCATCTCAATATTCCTAAAGAACTGTGGTATTATCTTCTTAAATGGTCACTTTATAGCCCATTGAATTTCATATCCTTAATATAATTATTTTCTAAGTAGGTAGATAGTGTCTAGATGTTTTGTTCATCTAAATTTTGCAGCGATAGCCCTGGCCACTGTGCCTCAGTTGATTGGGTGTTGTTCTGTGCACCGGGAGGTTGCCAGTTCGATTCCCGGTCAAGGGCACATGCCCAGATTGCAGGTTCCATTCCCAGTAGGGGACATGCAGGAGGCAGCCAACCAATGTGTTCTCACATCGATGTTTCTCTCTCTCCCTCCCCCCTCCCTCTCTCTCTAAACATCAATAAACGACTCTTTAAAAAAATTATGCTGTTTTAAACAACTTGAAATGTGTAGGCCCTTTGTCCTTTCAGATCAGGGTTCTCCAACCGTGACCCTACAGACACTGGGACCAGATCGGTCTTTGTTGGGGCAGGGTTGGTGGGGTGGGCTGTCCTATGGACTCTGCAGCATTCCTGGCTTCTGCACCCTCACCCAATTGTGACGACCAAAAATGACTCCAGACGATGCCGAACGTCCCCCCGGTGCTGTAGGCGGCGGGAACGGCACCGGTGTTAGACCCATGGGGTCAGACCGGACCTGGGTTCAGCAACGTTGGTACATGGGTTCTGGCTGGGAAAGAACTCATAGCCAAGACCCAAACGAGAACATTT